GAGGGGGAGAGAGAGAGAGAGGGAGGAGGTTTCTTATGAGTGCGAGATGAGAGAGCTGTTATACGACGTCGAGAGAGGCGCATCCCTTGGTGGTCCGGGGCCAGCTGGAGCCTGGATACGTCCTGGCGGAGCCCCTCGGCCCTCTCTCCAGAGTCAGAGTTCCGCCGCGCTATGCGCACACCTGTGCGCGCTGATCCTCTCTATGCCTAGAAAAGAAGCTAGCCGCAGCTAGCCCGCTGCGGAGGTTCCTGGACACCTTCAGCCAGCTGGCTCACGTACTCGGCGGCTGTGAGAACGGCATGGTCTCCTTTGCAGACTTCCTCGCCTACTACGAGGTGGTGTCCTCCACCGCCGCTTGACAAAGAGAGCCTTCAGGGCGCAAGTCTCTCTCTCTCTCTCTCTCCTTCCTCCTTCGAGCTCCAGCCCCGGGTTCTCCAGGTTGAGAACGACTCGCTCTTCGACCTCGTCGTGCAAGCTGGCCAAGACTTGAATTGAAGGCTTGTGTTGGGGTTTTTTCTCAAGCCGAGGCAGCGCATCTGGGACTTGCCTAAGGCCGGGGGTTGGGGCCGGCCAAGTGCACAAACCGGCGCGGCCGAGCCGTCTTGTCAGGCCGATGCGGGCGCTCAGGGCGGCTATGGCGGCTATGCGGCAGGCGGGGAATCTCCGAGGCCGGCGAAGCCGCGAAGTCACAAAAAATACCCGCGCTGCGCCTGCAGCGGGAAGCTTCGCTGCAGGCGCTCCCGCGTCAACCTGGAGCAAGCGCCCTCGCCCATGGCGGAGCGGAGGTGACTCGGCAACCCTTCCGACCCTGCGCGGTAGCTGCTAGCAGTGTCGCACAGCCGATCCTGCGGCAGTGCTGGCTCTTTACTGTCTCGGAGTCCATTTTTGAAGCGGTCTCCCCCTTTCTGCGCTGTGGAGTCTTGCGAAGAGACGTCTGCAGGCCTCCAGCCCATGCGGGGCCTTCGGCTTATGCAGTGGAAAGCCCACGGGGTCCCAAGCAGGAAAGCCGCACCATTCACACATCGCATCTGTGCATTTCTCCCGCGACGAGGACCACAAGCGCTTTAGCCGCGGCCCACAGCCAGGGGCCAAAGGCTCTGCGGAGTCTCGGGCAGAGCACGGCGACTAAATCTCGTCAGCGCTTCCGAGGGCCTCGGCCATCACCAAGTCCTCCATCGCCCGGAACCGAGCTTAAAAGCACGGATTGGAAGCACTGGGGGATGAACTTGTCCAGCAAAGACTGTTGCGAAAAGACTGTGGCAAGGCTGTGCAGGGTGCACATTGCTTTGCGGTAGTTGGCATGGCCATGGAAGCTTGGTTTGTTCTCGGAACCTCGAAATTAAGAACTGATATGCCTATCCGCTCTTCATCAATGGGCGTAGGAAGGCCGGCGCTGGTGATTTCGATTGGCGTGTTGCTTGAGCATGCGTAAGCGTGGCACGTCTGGAATCCGCGCATGGCCATCCTGTTGGATTCTTCTGCGTAGTCTCTGGCTGGGATGACCTCTCTTATCCCAAGGAGAACTCAAAAAGGAGTGGAGTTTTCATCTGTTTCATCGGATCGGCCTGGCGGGAGTGGGCTTTGGAGTGCCGAGCCCAACTCGAGAAGCGAACGGAAAGCCGCTTCCGCGCGAAAGAGAGCTGTCGGGAAGCGCACACTGCGGGAATGCAGAGTTCAGCTCAGCTTCGGCACGAAGCGAGGGCCAATTTGCAAGAGCTCGAGGCCACGACAGCCGCAGAAAATCTCCGAGGCATTGCGCACGCGAGCTGGAACTCTGAGGACAGGGCTTTCGGTTAAAGGAAAGTCAGAAAAACCGACGCAGAACATCCATGGGCTGACGGACTTGGGCCACTAGCAGTGCGCGAAACGACACCCGTTCGGTATGTCGTTTCTGGAGATTTTCGCAGGTGTGGGCAGACGCTTGGCATGAGAAGAGCGGTCCACCGAAGAGACTGTGTCACAGCTGAACCATGTCAAGGAAGTTGTCTGAAAAGGTTTCCCTCAGCGACTCAAGCGTCGATTCTTTGAAGCACGGTTGGGAAAGCGATGTCCAAGAGCGACCACAACAGCCTGGCCCACGGGACAGCGGCTCAAGAAGTCGAGAGATTCGGGGGTGGAGGTTGCTGCTTGGGGCCCGTGTTCTTTCTTCCCAGGTCTTCAACGAGCGGGGGAGCTCCCTGACCGAGGTGCTCGAAAGGTGCTCCAGAGAGAGAGAGAGAGAGAG